GACAGAGAGTTACAAGTTTTATGTTGAGGCCAAGAGCTGATTCAAAATGAAACAATGTCGAATAATTTGTTGAAGTTTTAGCCTTTAGAAAATTTTGTTTTGGGCCGGTTTTTTTTTATGTTTTTCGACCCAGTTGGGTTAGAAACCGGATTTGATGCTTCCCTATACCTAATAGCAGGCACACTGTTGTTGATTACCTTCTTTTCGCTATTCACAATTTTTCTTTGCTTTGCAGTATTGTAATGGAGAACTAATTTCCAAGGGCAAAATCCTATTGAACAGTTCCATCGCTTTTAGGTTATTCTAATACTAATTTAATGTCGATTCCTTTCAATTCTTTTCTAAGAAGTCATTTGCTTAATTTAAATGCTTTCATTGCTGATCATAAGATATAATTGATTAAATTTGATTTTATGCATGTTCCAAATTTTAATCGCGTGTTAACTTAGCTTATTCGTTAGCCTTCGCCTAATCTTTAAATTGTCATGCTTTATGCGGTAAATAGGAACATAATTCATATGGTATTGATTCTGTTTATCTAATTGATCTCATAATCGAATAAGATTGAATCCGCTTAGGAATTGGTGTTATAGTAACCGATGATAAGTCGAAACCCCAATCAGTAGGATTAACCATTTTAACTTATTTGATAATCACTTATTTTCTCTTGTTTTCTAAATCGAATTGAAAACCCCCATAATTTTTTTTACTTTAGTTGGTTAATTCAATGCAAGAATCCTCGTGATACGACTCGAGTCATTGTCGCTACACTACCGTTTTTAAAATTACTCGTTTTGATCCGTGCGCGACAGCGGATCACACATCCAGTATCTAATAACCATGATGCAGAAGTAGATAAATTTATTTCTATAACAAAAATACTCGAAATTGAAGTCTTCACTCCATTCTTCTTATCTTCCAGGTACTTTGGGTAGTTTCTCTTCAAGTGTCTAGTCTTACCGCAACGGAAGCAAGTGTCTACCTTCGTTATACCTCTTATATGTTTAAAAGCATGAGGAGTAGGTTTGGGTATGACAACTTCCTTGCCTTTCCCTTTATCACCCTGCTTCGTGGTCCTTTTATTATGTTTGAGGATAGTCCTCAAGTTTTGGTGCCAATCCATGAAATTTGTCCCAAATAATTTCTCTTTATCAGGGGTTGATAGCAAAATATTATTAGAGGTGTTTGTTGTCATGGTAATCTTACATAAAAAAATGTGAAATTATAAGTTTCAATTAAAACCAACATATTCAATTAGGCATTTAATTAAATATACTCCCACTATTTTACTCAAACCAAATGACCATCACCATTTGATTCGGAAAATCCCGTTGAAAGATTTTCTAGTGGATCGAGATCCATATTTCACTTTGGTTTAAGTTAGCGTTAGGCTGATTACACAAAATTTAGTTATTTAGGTAAGAACTCCTTCCAATTGTATCTAATACAATTCTCAAGTATTTTCAGTTAGATGAATAACTCCTTATTCTAATCCATCATATGGATCATTCTCAACTCTTGCTTCTAAATGTATATAATCTTATTATAATTTGTTTAGTTAAGTTTGACCCGTTGTTTTAGAAATTGGATATTAGATTTATCCCATCGCACCTTACCAATATAGAACATACACCTCACGTTAGACGAAACCTACATTATTCGATACTAGTCTTGATGAGTTATAAAACTTGGAAAACATAAACTTAATATTCAATTTTGAGAGAATTTTCAATTAGTTTGATCTCACATCATATTTATCATATAAATAGTCTCACATGCATCAACATACAATCACATGCATCAACAAACATATAAAATATGAAATAGTTATGGCCCCTAGCGCAACTGTTCTCTCAAGCCAATGAGAGAACCTAAGCTAAACCTAATAACGATCTATGCATCTCCATGCTAGGCCTCCATGGTTGTCCTCCTTTGATATTGTCTTCTTTTTTTCTTCATTATATTATATTAAAGAATACTCGTTTTACATACGAGTGAGTGAGATGAGAAAAAAAGTTACATAAAGAGTGTATAGAGAAAGACACGATACGCAGACCGTATTTAGAAATACCAAAACAAAATAAAAGAAGACTAAGGCCATAACCGTTCACCACAAGAAAATAATAATAAACATACTTTATTATTATTATTATTACTAGTGTCGTGCCTGTCTGTCCGCTTTTTTAATGCTCATAACAGAGAAATAAAAACGTGTATGTATTTTTTTATGAAATTTTTGTTAGATGTCATATTAAAAATAATATTACCGGGGCCTCACGGTGAGTGCCAAATGTTCATGCTAAAACACTAAAAGGTTGACTTCCTATTTATTGCTTGAGGAGAGTCTTAGATGAATGGTTTAAGGTGTCTGTTTTTGTGTATGAGTACTGCGTACCAGTTTTTCTCCTTTGTTTCTCAAACACTCCTTATTTATAGGTCTTCTTTTACTGGTACGTCTTCCTTTAACGTTCGCCGCCTCTATAATTGTTCTCATAACATCTCCCATTCAACGATTGTAACTCTCCAGCCATAATATATTTTTTCATAATCGTTTCTTGTGTCCTTTGGTGTGGCGTCCGAGCTTTATAGTTGTCCAGTTCTGTATGGCCGAGTCAGTTCTCAATTCATTCAAGATCGGCTCACCCTTGCAGAGTAACAACTAAAATACTTTCCAATAAAAGAATTCAATATTGCAAATTTTCCGACCTTCCCAAACTATATTATATATATATATATATATATATATATATATATATATATATATATATATATATATATATATATATATATATATATATATATATATATATATATATATATATATATATATATATCGTATAAATGGACACCTCCGTGCTCGTTTTTCCGTTTTTTTAGTGAACACACATTCAAACATAAATAATATTTTTGTGTTAAATTTTGAGTTTAATTTAATTTATTTGTGTAAAAAAGTATGTGTTATGAATTCATTTATTTATTAAATATGGTTCAAATTTTAGCAAGGGAGAGGAGGGGAGCAAAATTTCTCCAAAACACACTTTTTGGTTTCCTCCGAATTATGGGGATTTGGAGGGGAGGGGAGGGGAGAGAATATTAGTTTTGATATTTAAAAATTATTATATTTACTAAAATATCATCCGTTTAATTTCAGTATTTTAAATATTTTTTTTCTTCGTGTTACTGCTTTTTCTCGATTGTTTCCATCAACTTATTATAATTGTTCTCCACCTTCAAATTATTTTATAATTTCTATACTTAAGATAAATCATAATAATTGTCTTTTTTTTTATAAAAAAAATTATGTTTAGTTATATTCGTTTTTTTCTTTTAATTTTGTTATGTATTCTATCATATTTTCTTTTATATCAAATTGTAAACCATTCATTTTATTTATTTTTGTTTATTCATTTTATTAAATATTTTGAACCATTAATATTTAATTATAAGTTATTTTATATATTTGTTTTGTTATCTGATTCATCACAATTTAAACGATGTTATTGGTATATAGTTTAATTTAGGTTGGAAAGTTATAAGTCGAATCAATTGTACTCAATTTTTTAAATTTATGTAACAAATAAATACTTTTTTAATCACTAAATATTAGAAATTTTATTACCAACAAAAATACGCATGAACTTTTGAAATTTTAATACCATATGACTTATATAAGATCATAAAGATAAAGATGTAAATTATTAATAAAACTCCTTCCTTCCCCTTATGAACCAAACACATTTTTAATTAAAATCTCTCTCTTCTCTTCCCTTCTTCTTTTTTGAACCAAACACTTATCTGATTAAAAAAATCCTTCACCTCCCCTCCCCTTCCCTTCATTAAAATCTCTCTCCTCTCCTCCCCCTTATTTGAATCAAACAGACCCTAATTGTAGAAGATTAATATAAAAGTTATATAAAAATAGTTAGAACATTAAATAATACAAAGAGAAAGACAATAAATGAGTGAAAAGTGTCAACCATTAATATGATATCTATTTTTTATCTTTCTCCCTCTCAAATTTCTTTTAAAATGTCTTGTTAAAGCAAACAAAATATGATAAATGACTATGTTAAAGAAAAGAATTAGCATATCACTTGTAGATTATATCATTATCATCATTAAATCAAAAGAAGTTGAATTAACATTGGATATGAAAAAGGAAAGAAAATTGAACATATATAATTAAGTCTTTTCAAAGTATGAATGGGTATTACAAACAAAACTGAATAAGTTTTAACATAAAAAAAAAAAAATCCATTTATAACTAGCATCTTTCAAGAACTGCATCCTTGACGATGCTCTGGTAAATCTGTTGGAAGATAGGGCCAAATCCATCTAGATGTACTATCCCTTTTAAAATTGAATACTACACTATGAATTTTCTTTGGAGAGGGCAAAGAGGTAATCATCAAATAAAAATTACCAAAACTAAAAAGAATTATAACTACTATTACATTTGTTCCAAAATTATAAAATTATAAGTCACTTTGTAAAAAATATTTGTCTCAATTACAAATCACTTTAGAATTTCAATATAACATTAGTAATTTTTTTTTCCGTAATATACCATCTATCATTTATTTCTCTTTCTTCTTTCTATTTCTTTAGTTTGCTTTCCTATGTAATTAATGAAAAATAATTTTTTTAAAGTCATAAATCATTTCATTTTTTTTATAAAATAATAATTATATTTTTTAATTCAAATAAAATATCCAAAATGTTTTATAAATTGAGACCAATAAATATATATATTTTTAATATCAAGTTACGTGAATTTGCTCCGGAGAGAGGCAAAGAGGTAATAAAATTCAATGAAAATTTAACAAAACTATAAAAAAAAAAAAAGGTATAACTACTATTTTTTTCTCTCTTAAATATCAAGTTATATGTGAAACTCTTTTTAAAAATTTTTATAAATGAAAGAATTTCAAAATTCCAAAAACTTAACCAACACCAGAATTTCCAAACAACAACTAAAGACAAGAACAGCAAACACTGAGATGCAATCAACTTCTTCTTCATCGGCGTCGCCTGAAGCGATTCTCGAATGGCTTCACAAGGAAATGGGATACCGCCCTCGCGGCCAGTACGCCGGCGGCGGGGGAAAGCCCCATTCGCCGTCAGTTGAATCGATCCGGAAGGTTTGTCGCGGGAACATGATTCCGGTTTGGAATTTTCTCGTCACGCGCGCTAAGTCTGAGAAGACGGTGCGGAATGTTCGCCGGAATATCACTGTTCACGGTGATGGGGAGGGTTCTACGGGGAGGAAGAAGGAGAAGATGATATCCGGGGAGGGTTCAGGTTCGGCGGAGACGAGGGAGGCGGCTTTAATGGAGCGGGATTTGGTGGCCAAGGAGGTGGAGAGGTTGAGGAACATTGTGAGGAGACAGAGGAAGGATTTGAGAGCGAGGATGCTTGAGGTTTCCAGAGAAGAGGCTGAGAGGAAGAGGATGCTCGATGAACGATCAAATTACAGGTTTTGCTTCCTAATTTTGACCTAATTTAGTTGCAGTCGTGTTTGTTATCTCTAAATTGAACTCTCGTTATGAAAATAAAATTGATTGAGTATAACTACATGGGTCAGTATCATGTCGGTGTTAGAAAGCGAACACACATTCAATTTGTAATGTTGTTGCTACATAGGGATAAAAGGTGCCAACTTTGTTGTGAGTGAGGATTGTCTCACTCACCTCCAACAATGTAGATCTTAAGTAGGATCGTGTGTTGTAGGTAAATTGTGAAAAAAAATCGTAAAACCATTGATTGGGAGCGATCTTGGCCAGTTCTGACCATCGGCTACCACCAAGATGCAGAGGCGCGCAACAACTAGAATTTGGAGATGATGAATGCATGTCTTTTGAAATAACAAATTTTTAGATTTAGGGTTTAGAGAATAAAAAATTAGTTGTAGGGTTTGTTTTAAATTAGACTCATGATAATGACCCAAATATGTCCAACAAATGTTTCCGGTGATAAACGGTAATAAAGTATAAAAACTCAACCATACATGTCTAAAGAATATGAAAAAAGATCGATGCACTTGCCCGCCAAAGTATAATGTAAAAATACTTCACCTATATAGTATTGTTTTTCGTCTTAGTAGTATCTTTCAATTTTTGTTAGAATCTTATGTTTTTACGATCTTGACACTCCCTCTCGATCTTACAAAAATAATTGGGTTGAATCTTCCGATCTTAGTTACAATCTTATATTTTACGATCTTGTTATCCCCCCTTGATCTTATGCAAAATACCGATCTTCACAACCTTCCTTCCTGCTGGGTTTGGTTATAGAAACTAGAAGCTGATTTCTTTTTATGTTGTAAATGTTATTTTCTCCTTGAGTGTTGACATAGGCATATTGTGTTGTTGCTTGTTAGTATAATAATCTGCTTCTGAGATTAAATATCACTGTTGATCAGAAACTTGTGCGTGATTTTGTATCTGTATCAATGATATGTTTGAAAGAGTGAGGAGAAAAATTGTGAACTTGTGATGATTATGGTATTGGATAGTTGAGATAATTAAAGTGTATGAGTTATTTACCATTCTGCAGGCATAAGGAAGTGACGTTGGAGGCCTATGACCGTCAATGTGATGAAGCTTCTAGAATATTTGCTGAATATCATAAACGTCTTTGTTACTATATAAATTTAGCAAAGGATGCTCGAAGATCAGATGTGGATTCTTCCATTGAGATGACAAATAGTTTTAGTGCCAAAAATGAGAAGGAATCTGTTTATTCTACTGTTAAGAGCGGTAAATCTGCAGATGATGTCATTGTCATTGAAACCACAAGGGAAAAGAATATTCGAAAGGCTTGTGAATCTCTTGTAGCATACATGGTTGAAAAAATACAGAGTTCTTTTCCTGCTTACGAAGGAAGTGGCGTTCTTTCAAATCCTCAGGCAGAAGCAGCGAAACTGGGGTTTGATTTTGATGGACAAATTCCGGATGAGGTTAGAACAGTTATTGTGAATTGCTTAAAGAGTCCTCCCCTATTGCTTCAGGCCATTACTGCATACACTTCTCACTTGAAAAGTCAAATTTCCAGAGAAATAGAGAAAATTGATGTTAGAGCTGATGCGGAGATCTTGAGGTATCAGAATATATGTAGTTTCTTTTTTTAAGTTCTGTTGATGCTCTAGTTAGTTCCTCCGTGACTATGAATTTTGAAAGTTGGACCTTCTGTAAATCATCAATCATTGTTACTATAAAAAATAAACTAACTTTCCCAATAAAAATATCCATCAAAAATGCTAAATTTGCAAAGCATGTGGCATATAGAATAATTTAGTTCCCCTGCCAACCAGAGTACAATATTGTGTATGTAGATGTATGCTGTTTAAGAATTCTATTAGTTTAATCTCATTGACAAGTATATTACGCATGCTATTGATATAATTCAAACTTGTATATTTCAATCAGGTACAAATATGAAAATAACATAGTTATGGACGTTTCCTCTTCTGATGGTAGCTCTCCTCTACAGTATCCACTTTATGGAAATGGAAAACTTGGGGTTGATGTGCCTCCAGGAGGAAGTCAAAATCAGCTTCTTGAAAGACAGGTCTTTATTCATCTTTAGACTGCATAGTTTTGTCATCTTAAGTTGAGTTATTGAACCAAAGCTGTATCTCTGTTCACAGAAAGCTCATGTTCAGCAGTTTTTGGCTACTGAAGAGGCACTAAACAGTGCTGCAGAAGCACGAGACTTGTGTGAAAAACTTATGAAACGTCTGCATGGAGGCACTGATGTTACTTCACGTTCATCTCAGAATATTGGAAGTCTTAGGCAACTTCAGGTATTATTCATTCAAAACTTACAGTGAATTAGGCCCTTTTTAAGCAAGTTATAAATATTTTTTGAATATATACTCATCTTTGTCCAAGATTCCTATTACTAAAAAACTATATATAACTATAGTTAACTTACCAGCATTTATGTTACCAACATTTAGAGAAATGTTGAGCTTGAAGTTTTGATCAACGTTGTTTTGGTGGCAAAGCTTAGATGAAGACTTAATGTTTAAATCAACACACATTTTATGATCTTGTGAGTGATAAAAGTTAAGCACCTTGCATATTTTCAAGATTGTTATTTTATTTTGTTCAAATTTTTTTCTTTAGATTCAGACGCTATATGGAGCTGTTTTAGTTATATGATATTCCGAGAAAGTGAAATATACAAGTATACAAAATTGTTTTTATGACAAATTATCTCTGGTTCATCTCTTCACATCTAATTATTTTGTCCCGGGAAGATCTGAAATTTGATATTCCAAGTAAAATTGAATATAAAAAACAAGAGGATTTGTAAACACTTGTGTATCTAAGATTTTTCATTGCTAAACTATCAGCATATGGAGATTATGAATATTTTTTTACATTAACATTTAAAGTAGGAGAAATAAATGATTTCATCTATCTTTGAGGAATTGTTGCTTTTAATATGTTCAATTAAATTATTTTTATTCCCTTTTTTATTTTCCAACTTCGTCCAGGAATTTGGATTTTTTGCTGTTATGAGTTGGAAGAATAAATAAAGTAACATTTTTGCTGCGTTCAATTTTGTTAAAAAGTCTTGCATTGGATGGTATATGGCCTAAAGATATGTTTATTAGTAGAGTCACAATCGTCACCTTATAAACCGGTTTTGTAAGGTTCAGTTAGGCCCAACCACAATTCTTAAGATGGTATTAGACCCTCATTCAAGATTTGTTGGGTCACATGCCATCAGGTTTCTGCTATTGGGCCACCCACCATTTATATTCACGCTTCTGGACGTGTGAGAGTGTGCTAAAAAATCCCACATCGGAAAATATATGGTTCGAACATATGTTTATAAGTGCGAGCAATCTCTACCTTATAAGACGGTTTTGTAAGGTTGAGTTAGGCTCAACCACAATTCTTAAGAAGTTCTATCCAATTATTAATGCTAGAAATATTTTCCGCATCAAAGTTTGAGGTAGGAGTTTACCACTTATACTTCTTACACTTGTTTAGGTAGATGTTTGGGCAAAGGAAAGAGAAGTTGCTGGTTTAAAGGCAAGTTTAAACACCTTAATGTCTGAAATACAACGCTTGAACAAGTTATGTGCTGAGAGGAAAGAAGCTGAAGATTCTCTTAAAAAGAAGTGGAAAAAGATTGAAGAGTTTGATTCTCGTAGATCAGAACTTGAATCCATATACACGGCACTCCTTAAAGCAAATACGGTAAGGTTCCATTATTTCATTATTTTCTGTATTTCTGGAATGTGACTTTTGTACTTAATGGTACTCTGTTTGGATCCTACTAGGATAATCATTCACTGGTTTTGAACTTGACTTAGCCATTAATAGATTTGTCTGTGGCCATGTTGATGCATTTTGTTAATTGATATATGTATTGACTACAGAGACAATGGATATTTGTAGGAAGTTTACATATGTTGTTCCTGCTAAGCCTTAATGGTATTCATTTCCCTTAAGTTGTGCAAGTGATTCCAACAAAGCATTGTTCTTTTATTTTTTTTATCCAAACAGTTCTCTGATTTTTGTTTTGTTTTCTTTTATGTTGCAGGATGCGGCTTCATTTTGGAGTCAACAACCATCAACTGCAAGGGAGTATGCTTCAAGCACTATAATTCCAGCATGCTCTGCGGTTTTTGAGACTTCAAATAATGCAAATGATCTTATAGAGAAAGAAGTGTCTGCCTTTTATCGGAGTCCAGATAATAGCCTCTACATGCTTCCTTCTTCACCTCAGGTTTACAGTGCTAAAACAGACACGTTCCTTGTATCAAATGTTAGAATAGAAACAATTTTCTGAGTTTTCGGGATTGATATATGAAGTTGATGTACAGGGTCTACTTTTGGATTTTCCATTTCTATTGTTTGGCAGTTAGTTTCTGGATTCATTTAAATATAACTCAACTTGGATTGGGTGTCTAGTGTTTAATAATCAAAGCATTGATAGAAATGTTTTATTTTGATGGAACTTAGAATTTGGGTTGAACCTAGCTCAACCCTTACAAAATGGGTTTGTAAAGTAAAGACTGTCCCCACTTATAAACTTATATGTAGACTTTTTGTCATCCAATGTGGAACTCTTAACAAATCTCCTCCTGCCCAAGATTATGACTGAATATCTGAAGTGTGACTGTGTGACCCTAGTGATCCGATAATGGTGACCTAATAGCACGTGGCTCAATAGATCTTGGATAGGTTAAGATATCGTTGTAGATTTGGGATAGGTTTAGATATCATTGTGGATTCCATTTTGATTCTATTGTGTCTCACGACATATGGTGACGAGGGTGGTTGTGATCCCATGAATGTACATCGTCAGCCCTCTTTCTCTGGCACCATTGTCAAATGCAGCACAAACTTTCTATTGCTGTGAGATTCTAGAGGTTGCTTGAGAGCGAAGAGGTGGATTTATTAACTTCAGATATGTTTCCATAGTTTAGTGGGCGATAAATTTTTAGATTACTCCTCTATAACTCATCCCTTGTTTTGCTCTGTCCCATGGTCAATTTGAAATCAAATACAAAACAATTTTTTCTATGCTATCCAGTTCTAAATATTTTAACGAGTCAAATGAATCTTAAATTTTTTTTTATCACTTCACATACATGTGCTTTGAATGTTTCAATCATGTATCTCATATATTAAGACTGTTTCAGCTTAAATTTATCATCAATTCTGGTTCAGGCACTGCTTGAGGCCATCGGGTCCAGTGGATCATCTGGACAGGAAGCAGTTGCGAATGCAGAAATAAGTGCGGCTATTTTGACTGCAAAAGCTGGTGCCCGGGATCCGTCGGCAATTCCATCAATATGTCGAGTTTCAGCTGCACTTCAGTATGCTGCTGGTGAGTATGTTATCATTTTTTCACGCACTGAAAGGCTCTTTCCTAGTGCACCCTATAAGAGATATCTTATTCAAAATTTTAGGAGAAAACCCTTTATCATGTGAAAACCGTCTTTTGCAAATAGGTACTTCTTACTTTTACAAATAGTCTTCGATCTTCATCATTTCTTAAATACGATAAATATAGCTTAGCATATAAAATATTAGTAAACTAGTTATTGTTGCACTATTGTAATTCTGAGAAAATCATCTGTACATTCCTCCCAGTATATAAAATATAAACAATATTCTAAGAAGTTCTGATGCACAGTACGATATGAATAGGTAAATCTTAAAACTCAGGATACATTTACAAAAATGTGTGTGTGTGTCTATATATATATATATATATATATATATATATATATATATATATATATATATATATATATATATATATATATATATATTAATTTGATCAAATGTAGTTTCAAAGGTATATTATACTATTGATGGTATGCATATATGTGGGTTAAAATCTATTATAGTGTATTAAATGATTTTCTTAATGGACGGGCAGGCTTGGAAGGTTCTGATGCTGGTCTAGCATCCATACTGGAATCCCTGGAGTTTTGTTTGAAACTTCGTGGTTCAGAGGCCAGTGTTTTGGAAGATTTATTAAAGGCTATTAATCTTGTCCATATTAGACGCGATCTCGTTCAAAGTGGTCATGCCTTGTTAAATCATGCCTACCGTGTTCAACAGGAATACGAAAGGTAGATATGAATACAAACAATACCAGAATTCAACCCACATTCATGGTTTATTAATTTAGTAAATGCATATATGCTTGTCCAAGAGAAAAAGATGTAGCTAATATATCTTTCCACCTCTTTCAGATTCATCCCTGAATGATTTGTTGGAGGCTTTTTCTTCATTTTTGTTTTGACATTTGATATAATGATGCAGGACGACAAATTTTTCTTTAAATTTGGCTGCAGAACAAGAAAAAGCTGTAATGGAAAAATGGTTGCCTGAACTCAAATCTGGTGTTTTGAATGCTCAACAAAGCTTGGAAGACTGCAAATATGTCAGGGGACTGGTGAGTTACTGCTGTTCTATGAAGCACGGACACCTCTAGGAGTAGGCGTGTTGCAGTGTTTGATATGTGTCGGAAAAGTCAGACAAGTGTCCCCCAAAAAAATATGTTTTCTTTGCTTCGAAACTCCTTAAATCGATTTTCAACACCCGTATGACACTCATAAAACGTGTGTCTGGAAAATGCAGGCCAATGTTTAAAAAGAATTTGTATTTTTCATTGTTTCAACACAGTCTACGTTTTTTGAACAAATAATCACACTTCTAAAAGGGTTAAACATGTATTGAAACAATATTATCAACGAAGAGTCAAAGACATTAGTTTTGATTAGAATATTTTTAACCATTTTAATAATAGATGTAGCTCAAATATTATTATGATATATGAATGTCATTTTTGAAAAATTATATGAATGTCATTTTTGAAATTTTCAGCGCTATTTTAAGTGTTATCAATCTAATAATAACAGCAGCTAGCTATGAAGCACGGACTACAACACGATATGGATATTTTGACACTGATAATGTCAAAAACATAGGACACCGACACTCATAACTTCCATCCCCACTTTCCTTGTTTGTGTTTGTTTAGCTCAGATGCAACCGGCTAAAGCATGTTTTATTCCAAAGTAAAAAATTTGATCACAATTGTTTTGCTTGATATGTAATCTCTTGGTGGATTTTGATATGCTCGTTAACAACTCTTAAGGTTTCAATTTCTATTCTTACATTGCAACTTCTTCTGCAGCTTGATGAGTGGTGGGAGCAACCAGCATCGACAGTTGTTGACTGGGTGACGGTGGATGGACAAAATGTAGCAGCATGGCATAATCATGTAAAGCAGCTTCTTGCATTTTATGATAAGGAGCTACTATTGTGAATATATTTTAGCACACCTGCAGAAACAGATTGTTTAAACGATTTCCACTTTGCTATCGTCATTGAAGACTTCATATTCTTTAGCCTCAAGGTGCTGTGCAGAAGCCGGTACTCGAAGCAGATATTTTGGGATGGAATATGCAGCTGCTGTTGTTATCAATAGACGACAATCTCTAGAACAAGAAAGAAACTGCTCCCCTACCTGTTGATTTTTCATAGATTCCCTCCCTCTCTTCAGAAGTGTGTTGTGTATTATAAGGCTATTTAGATTTTAGGTGGTGGGTTGGAATATTCTTTAACTGCTTGTGATTAATGAATCCTCTGATTGTAGAGTTCCGAGTTCATATTTTATATTTATAATCAACTTATGCAATCTTGTTGAACTCTCTATTTTCTTCATGATGGAAAGAGGTCAAGTATCAAGTTTAATGTAGACATTTGAATGTTTGAAAAGTTGGAATGCCAAAGAAAATGAAAGACATTAATTATTGTTAGTATCTAAACTTTAGGGAAGTGTGAATAATGTCACACCAGCAAAATATTGGCTGTATCTGCTGATAGATATCACAGTTCTTTGTGAATCACACACATTAATGACACAGTATATTTTTCACAATCAGAGTGACCAATCTCAAGTTTTTATTATATTTTAGAATTTATGCATGTTATGTTATTAATAAGATAAAAGGAAGATGAATAAAGCATTAGAAAACTGATACAGACACAAATGTGGTTGGGGCAAATGGATAGAAACCAACTGATATAAAAAAAATCTTTTTGATTAAAAATTTATCACCCACTAAACTATGAAAACATATCCGGTTATAAAATCCCTGCAATATGGTAATCGGCTCCTCTAGCACTATGAGAGACAGCCTACAGAACGAGCTCCAAGGTCCCCACAACCACAATTTCACAACAGAATGCAAATAACTTCCGCTATGTCTCATCAAAATAAGGCAACCGCTATGTCTATCTGCTGCAAAATAACGAAAATCTATGGCCGTATCATAATCCTCCTGAATCCACCGCATCCAGAATAACATGCTGTTTGGCTGCTCTTGCACGGCAGAGTTCACAACCTGTTTTCTGCTCCAAATGTAACAGCAAACACAGCTGTCCGGTCAATGCAGCAACTTGCAGCTTTTATCCACTGTATCAAACCAAATTAAGGCACCACACATAACATTAACTACCAAATTCAGATGTCTAAACCTTGTCGACGACTCTTCCGGTGTATAGCTGAATGCGTGAATCAATAATGTGAAAGCCAGGAACTCTGACACCGGCTGCATAGAATAGAACTGATCCCCAACCGACTTGCAGACTGATACAAACAACGCTGTCATGTGAAGCTGGAACATGATACTCTATCCTGATCCAGTATCTACAATGAATACAACAGCACGACCGCAGAATAAACTGCATAACATCAGGGCAGACCACAACAGCACGATAAGTAGCTGCCATACCCAGTTGAAAAACTCCACTATTTGAGACATTACAACCAGAATACCCACCTCTGTCTTCATTTTACTTGAAAAGAAGGAATCAGTTGTGATCTGGCAGTTATTCCAATTAGCGCAGAATCTACAGCGCTCTAAATTTTCCGCACCGACAGCCACTCTAACAACTCATAAGCCGGAATAATCCTCACCTGGAACCGGCACCTAATGATAGTTTTAAGGATTCGGCTTGACCCCGGTGCAAAAGGTGAAACTAACGACAACCAACCACACGCCGCAATACCCGAAACCACGCTCATAAGAAAATCTCCAATACTCGAAACAGAACAACCAGAGACCCGACTTGAAACATGAGAAATAAATTGCAAAGCAGCATATAATCCAGCGAACACACTGACTGCAACGCTCTGATCTTCCGCACAGACAGCCACTCCGCCAGCTCCTCTATCGCATCGATCCTGACCTAGAACCCCAATCACCGATGATTAGCCTTGGGTTCAAGTGCCATTGCAATAAATTACAGTTTAGAGATTTATGTTTGATGTTGAACCAGTTCCATGATAACCTTTGTACATTTTCGAACATTTGATAACAGAAGCAGCTTGTTCTTAAAAATACTGTTATTTCTTGCTTTCCAAGGTAGTCCTTGACTGTTACTTATGCAAGAGATACTAATAACTCATAAAGGAATTAAGAGTGAGCCAGAACTTGTGACCAAACAGTTTCATACCACAACATTCATAAGTAACAATCAAGGACTACCTTTGTTGAGTTTGTTCACAGTAACAGCTAGCAAGAATAGACCATAACTTATAGATAATTTTCTTCACTATATTACAAATCCCATTTACATGGACTCTTAGAATCTTACCCCCTCAAGAAGGATCGTCTTTTCCCCTCAAAATCGATGCCTTTTGGTATCTCAATTTATCGATTTCCTTTACTAGATAATCTAAAGTCGTGTCTGTAACATGGTTAGGGGAGCATCCAGCATCGAGCATCATTTTTAAGAACTTGTAAGCATCTTTGACTCGGCCAGCCTTGCTGTGAATTTCAATCAAAGTATTATAAGTGACAACATCAGGATTTATCCCGCTGCTCCTCATTTGCTCAAAGAACTTGTTCACCTCATCAACTCGCCCTGCCTTCCCCAAAGCATTGATGAGAGTGTTATACATAACTATGTCAAGATAACCGCCTTGTTTCAGCAGTCGATCGAGGACAGCACTGGCTAGATCTGCTCTTCCCATCTTTCCTAAACCTTGAATTATCATATTGTACGTAGCGATATCAGTTGGACAGAGCTTTTCTCCCATTTCCGACAGAACGGCCCAAGCCTCGTTAAAATAGCCTTTTTTGACAAACGAGCTCATGATCGAATTATAAGTATAGCTGACAGGATCCACACCCGCGTCGGTGAAAATCTCAAACAATTTACAAGCCAAGCTCAACTTTCCCTTGGCCAAAAATATAGACAGGAAAGTATTCACCATATCAACATCGAAAGAATCAGGCCCTTTTTGTTGAACTCTCTGTCTACGGTCAGGTGTAAACAGTCGCGGAGCATTGCCAGTTGATTTCACAATACGCTTGGCCAATTTATCCATATACGGAGATGATGTCCACTCGTCAATTTCTTCAGAGGAAGTTTCCACCTCATCATCCTCCTCGGGATGAGTTATGAAACTCATGATCTCACTAAACCCTCCTTTGGAAGGGAACATTGGCGAGTAATCCTTTTCCTTGGAATGCAAGTTATTGATTGAAGCTTCCATTCCAGCCTTCCACCTAAGAACACCGGGTAACAAATCGCCTTCCCTTACATGCTTGATGAGCCTATCCGTCCAATCCCAACGACCGTGCTTATGAATGCCAACCAAGAGAGATGTTATCGTAACAAGGTCAACAGAAAAGCCTCTAGCTTCCATTTCCTCCACCAACTCCAAAGCCTCTTCCAAATGACCCTCTTTACAAAGTTGCAACACAACAATGCTATAACTAATCCCATCCACAAACTGACCTTTCTTTTTAAGATCACAAAAAAGCGTATAACCAGCTTCCGATCTCGCATTCTTCATAAGTCCATGAATCAAAATATTATAACTCCAACAAGAAGCTTTCACCCCTTCTTGAGTCATTCTCTCAAACATCTCGCACGCTTCATTAACCTTACCAACCTTGAAAAACCCATCCAAAACACAATTATACACAACCACCCCGGGACGAAACCCATTATCCTTCATCTCATTAAAAATCCTCACACCCTCATCCATTCTACAACTCCTACAACAACCCCGAACGAGAGTCCTGTAAGTAAACTCGTCCGGGTTATAACCACACCCTTTGAGCTCATTCCACACAACAATCGCATCATCAATCTTCCCAATCTTACAAAGAACCGACAAAACCGTATTATAAGTACACATATCCGGCCCAAACAGATTCTTATCCTCCTTCATCTCATTAAAAAGCATCATGGAAGTAACCAAATCACCCCAAGAACCAAAAGCATGAATACAAATATTATATCCCCACGAATCAAAATCAAAACTTTCCCTTCCCCTCAAAGTATCAAACACATTTCGAAACTCTTTCTTCATCCCGGCTTTCCTAAGTGCCGAAAGCAAGTAATTGGAAGAACCAACAATAACCGAATTGAAATTCGAATCCGAAGACTGATCAAGTGATAAAAGACTATTGAAAATAGATAAAGCAAGATGAATTTGATTGTTTTTTAGTGAAGCAATAAGAAGAGAATTGTAAATAAAAGGCGTAGTACCAATAGGTTGAAGATTCTGCGTTTGAATATAATCCAATATATCAATAACAAAATTGAAATTTTTATTGTTGTTATGAGAGAATTTGATGAGGAAATTGAGGAGATTATTGAATGAACCGGAGTCGAAAGCAATACCGGTTTGTTTCATGGAGTGGAGAAGCTGAGGGAGGTGTTGATGGAGGAGGGGAAGAGGGGTGGTGGGTTTGCAGAGATTGTGGAGAATGAGAGAGTAGGTAGTTGGAGAATGAATGGTGTTGTGGGAATTGAAGAAATTGAGTTTGTGGGAAATGTGGAGTGATGGGTTAGAGAGGATTTTGAGGATTAGGGTTTGGGTGAGGGTGGTGAATTGGGTTAGGGTTTGGGGGTTTTTGGAGAGGGTTTTGGTGATGGAAGCTACAGTGAGTAATTCTGCAACTTGTTTCAATATTGATGGTGTTTTCATGTTTCATGGGATGAAAGTTTGAGAATGCTACAAGTTTTAAGGTAGTAGTAATAAGAAAAAACATAAATTTATGTTTTTGAATATCATTTTTTGTTTTGTTTTCACCTATGAAAGCCCATTGTGGTCAAATTGGAGACAAACATCTTGTTTAAGGTAAAATAGAGATGAGAATCTAACAATAATTCACAATATTGAAGCTCAATGATGACCAATCATATCCATAACATTTATTACTAATACATCAACAATGTTTCAATTTAACAAAGAAGCCAATTAGTCACTAAACATGTTACATCATGTCATATTTAAGAAAAGTGAATAAAAAGTTCATTACATGGAAGAAATTATTATAAAATTATTATGCATAATAGATGCTCCTATTTAGTTATGGAGAAACATTCTTTGAAGAAGGAGGACGTGGAGGAAACAATGGAGGAAAAGGGAATGACAAACTTGGTGGTGATGAAGTTGGTGGAAAAGGAAACAATGGTGATGATGATCCTAATGGAGGAGGTTGAAATGGATTAGGAATTAATGGTGTTTGAGTTGGTGGTTGAGGTGGATTAGGGACTAATGAAGGTGGTTGAAATGGATTAGGGACTAATGGTGATGGTGGAAACAATGGATTAGGAGGAAAGTTAAACGAGTCAATGTTAATTACTTTTTCATTCAATGATTCATCCTCGTTACTCGGGACTAATGGTGACAATGTCGGTGGCAATATTGGTGTGACAATTTCAGGTGCTAAAGGAATTGGTGGAAGTAAAGGAAGAACACCACTACTAGGTGTGTCTGGATCTCGAAGCGGAGGTGGAAAAGATGGATCGATATTCGGAGGAAGCGAAGATCTTTTTGAAGAATCGAGAACAAAACTACTTGGTTTTTGGTTACATAGGTTTGGTTGTTTGAGTGGCTTGAATGAGAAGAACCCTGCTGAGAATATGTGGAGTCCTTGTTTTCTTGATTTTAGGTGAAGTGATGAGGACGTGGATGTTGAGGCTATAGAGCAATATGGTTCATTGCTGCTTACTAGTGTCACTACACATTGTTTGATTCTTTTCACATGTTTGCTCACTGAGAATGGAAGCTGGATTCTGAATTCACCATGGTTGTTTGTTTTTACTTGTTTCTTGAATCTTGGTTTTGAAATGGTGTTTCCATTTTTGCATTCTACTTCAACTGATGCACCTGCATAAAACACATGAAAGTGTCGGTCACAAAGTATTGACACAGATATCTGACACAATGCTAATATTGATATTGATATGGAAGTACAAATAAAAACTTGAGAAAGTTGAATATAGTCATTTTTGTAACACCGACACTTTTAAATAAAGACATGTATAGTGTCTGATATGTGTCAGTGTTCGACACTGAAACATGATTAGATTTTATTTATTTATTTTTTAAAATTATTATCGATGTTGACGTGTCAGTGTCGTGTCTAGCGTTCGTGTCAATGCTTCGTAGATAATCACATGGAAAGAACTTATCTTCAATTTATCAAAAAAAACTATTATATAGTGACTGATTTAGATGTCTCTGAACAAAAACATGTTTGCTGTCCAACATGTATGAATATTCAACATTAACACACAATTAGAATCAATCTATTTATTTTATCAAATTATTATCGACGTCAATGTCAGTGTCGTGTTTGATATCTATATCAATGTTTAATATGCAATTACACCTATAGTGTTGTATTGATATTAAACAGTGACGAATATTAGAACTATTGAAACATGGTTTCAAAAAACTACTATATAATGACTGATTTAAACACCGAAAATGTTAAATCGGTCACTAACATTACTGACTTTTCACAAACCAATCTTTAAATCAATCACAAACTCATCTAGCGACCGAGTTTTACCGATACCATAACATTTCCATCACTAAAAAATTACAATTAAGAAGTTAAGAGAAGTACCTGAAATGAAACGGTTTCCCATAGAAAAATCCTGTTGAAAACATGTATCACAAAAAACAGTGCCAACCACAACAGCAGAAGTAGGTTTCTTATGATGGTGACCAGCCTCAGAAAAAGCACCAAATGTTACAATCAGAAACATTATCACAAAAAACCAAGACATTCTAAACTTTGTTCTTTTACAAAAACTCTTGTCTATGTCTTAATATCTTGTACTATATTCATGTATATATATCTTCTTATGATCCTTTCTTAAGGCCATTTATGGCTATCATGCAAAAGCAACTCAACCGTAAACTACAATGCAGTCATTGTAGGCTTGTTTTCCATCACTAAAGAAGCTTCTAGTTAGATTTTATTTAATGTTATGGATATAATGTCTTGTTTGTTTCTTTGTGGTGATTCACGAGACAAAAAAGTAGTCACATAATGTGTGAACAATTAACATATGAGTATATGGATTCACATTAAGAGCTACTAGATAGATAGCACAGAAAGAATGAGACGGTATCAAATGTTTTACACTTTTTTTTCTTCTTACATTTATGACAGGTATATTTTAAAGTGATTAAAATCAATTAAATTTGAAATAATGATAAAAATGAAAATAATTATATATGAGGATTGCATAGGTTAAATTTTATTCAAATTATTTCTAGTACTTTTTTAATATTAAGTTTTATTCAAAATATTTGTATTACTTTATTAAAGGCAAAGCTACACTCTAGGGTTTTTTAAGTTATTTTAAAATATTAAATTAGTCTCTTAAATTTTTTTGTAACGCTTTGTTTTTTTTTTTAAAATCTCCTTTACAATAAATTACAAACTCATATATCATTTAAACTGGTTTTCGCGCTGATCACGAATATGTAATTAATTTTGCGTTTGATTGTGTATTTTGGTCGGATCGTTGATTTTTCATTATATATTTCGTTTATTTTTATCTAATTCTCATAAACTGTAACTTGTTTAATAAATTTAACTGTATATTCGTGATCAGCGCGAAAAACCAGTTTAAATAGTATATGATTTTGCAATTTATTATAACAGAGATTTTTAAAAAAAATCAGAGATTAAAAAAATTTTAAGAAACTAATTTAATTTTTTAAAATAATTTAAAAGAGTAAACGGCAGTTTTTGCCACTTTTTAGTATTACCTATAAGGATTGCATAAGATAAATTTTGTTCAAACTTTTTATAAATTATAATGAAAATAAGTAAAAGTTAAATTCAAAATAGCACTAAATAAGTTGCATAAGTAAAATGTAAGGCCAGAAGATAAAAAATAAATTAGAGAAAATATATAAACTAATTTTATTGATTTTGCATGTTAAATGACATTTACGGTTTGATATTGAAAATTTTACCCAAACTTTTTTTTTCCTAATCCAACTCTTCTCACCCAATCTAATTCCAAGTTTTTTTTAATAACTAAGAGCTTGTTTGTTAATTATATATGTAATCAACTTACATGCCCAAACTTTATTACCAAACAAACCAACTTTACTTCATAATTTTTAATATTGTCATGTTTAAAAAAAGAAGAAAAAAAAACTTAAATGCTATTGGTGTCTCCTCCCAGATTCTTTTTTTTTTTTTTTTTTAATTTAGTTATTTGCAGATTTTTCTGCAAATTTGATGTTGCTTGCACATTTATCCACGGACTTACTTGCAAAATTACCTACGGATTTAATGTTACATGTACACGCACAACGATTTGCGAGTAATTAAGAATGATAAATCCACAGATAACATCAAATATGTAGAAAAATTCGTAGGTGACTAGGAAAAAATTTGTAAAAAAAAAGAAGAAAAGGTACCAATTGAATTGGCGCCCTTTCTTTAAAAATAGGAGAGGGCGTCGATAACATCTAAGTCTTCATTTTTTTTTGAAACATGGGTATAGTAGAAATTAGAGTTTGTTAGTTTGGTACTTAAGTTTGAAAACTTGATTATTTAGGTAAAATATTCTTTGATATTTATAGACAAAACTAGGTTTAATGTCAAATCAATGTGGCCTGCTGAATTTAGTTATGTGTGACTATTTTTACTGATAATATGTAATTTTTTTAGTTGCTAGGCGTACGTGGTAGCCCACATTTGGTGTGTTTACGACCCTTCCCGTAACATTTTATGTTTTCCTTATCTACATGTGCGCGATCCTGCCTCGGATCAAGTTTTTGTGAAGATGGTTGCTTTATTTAGTGGCAATATAAACATGGAACACAAGTAAAAAAAAGTTGAATGGTCAAGTTCTACACGCCTTTGACGTGTTTTAACACTCGGGCAACCTACGTGAAGCTTATTCAACTAACTTTCATTCGATTATAGATGATTTAAGTATACCTTAATTCAGCTGTCTAATTTTCTATGTTAAATTGTATTCAATTTTCTTGAGTGTTTTCAAATGATCACAAGTCCTCATTGTATTGTAAAACATTTATCAAACAAAGGAAGGTTTTTAGAATCAGATCAATATCATAATTAGTTAGGAGGCTCCTTTAATTGATTATTGAGAGAGTTAGTGTAGTATCCCATATCGTATTAAATGTTCTATTAGTTGTTAGTTGTTATCAGTTTGGACATATTGAGTTCTTGGATGCTCTATTAGTTGTCAGTTGGGACAAATATAGTAATTAGTGAACTCAATTGAGCTTAATTCTTACTCAGTAAGGTTGACCTCTATTAAATTGTTAAAGAAAGAACATTTTGGTAACATTAATAATTGGTGAATTACTCACTAGAAGATAAGATATGCTTTTTAGATGTTTTCTTTTCCTCTTATTTTACTAACTTTGCCCTAACTTGCTAGTAAGGAAACAAGAAGATAAATAGGGGAGAGAAAAGAGAAAGAAGAAGAGAAGATAAGAGGAAGAGGAAACTTACAAGAAGAGCAAGAAATGATTATCACCAACTTCATTTCAACTTTCATCATCTTCATCTCATCAAGGTGGGTTCGTAGGTGGATATAGATTGGGGGAGGATTCATGATTTGGGAAATTAGGATTTGTGTGAAAACATGTTATATGTGATTATTTTGGTGTTCATACATGTTCTACTTCTTGTTTTGTGTGTGATGAATCATATTACTTTGGTGTACTAAGTGTTAAGTATTGTTTTGGTTATGTCATGTCATCCTCGATAGACGAAGGGATGTCTCGCCAGGTGAAAGTTCATGTTGTTGGGATGTGATGTTCTGTTACCTTCACAGACGAGAGGATTGTCTCGCCAAGCAAAGTCTCGCTTGAGACTCGCCAAGCGAGGTAGCAGATTTTTGTAAAGGGAGACATTCTTTTCAGTCTTACTGGGAGCTCGCTTGAGGTTCACCGAGCAAGAGCTCGCTAGGAGGATCGCTGAGTTTCACCAAGCGAGAATTCTTTGTTTTGCTGAAAATGTTTTGGTTCCTCGTTTCCACCATGAAATGGGAACCATGTTTCTGATTAGAGTGAGACCCAAAGCATTGGAAAGCTATTCCAATGTTCTACCTTTTGGTAAAGATAGAACCATTTTTCGTTCCAATTATTAGTTGGATATTTTTCATGAACTTGTGTGCATATTTTTTGTTATGATGGTTTGGTTCCGTAACATGTTCCGATTGATGAAGTAACCAAATGTTATGTTAATCGACCACGCGAGGCCATAATTAGTACATTTCTAAATCCCAATTGCGAGGGTCATAATTAGAAATGGTACGCCAAATTCTAAATCCAACCGAGCGGGGTCGTAATTAGATTTGTAACTAAGTTCTAATTTGAAGGTTATGTTTTAAAGAAGGAATATTGACATGGAAACCCTTGACATGATGTTCAGTTTAGGAAAATCATGTGTACTAAGTTATGAGAATGTGTTATGCGTTTCATGTATCATGTTGCGATGCGTTGTGTTTTATGAACCATGATATGATTTAATTGGTTGCGTTAATTGTATGATAATTGCTTAAAATATATGATGAAAAGTGAGATAAACCTAGGTTGTAACTAGGTGTTAGCTGGGATTTTTGACCAATGAGGAAAACCCAGCAAACAAGAGTAAAGTCTTAAAATAGCAGCGGTTCGACTGCGCTTTAGGGACTTGGAAGATTTTTGGTTGTTAAAGTGAGTGGTTCGACAACATCTGCTTCGACCAGACAGATAGCGTCGCAGCAAGAGCTGGTCAAAGAAGTATTTTGTTTATGCGTGAATTTGTCACGTTCAAATCTTGGTAATTGCTTGGGTTCTTATCTCAGAGGGACGCGTGGAGAAATTTGGAAAGCAAATTGCATGCAGAGTGCATATGGCGAACCAATGGAAAAGGAACGTTAGAGAGTAGTTATTTTAGACTTATATATAGTAGTTCATTTTATTGGATCAGAGGTATTCATTTGTACTAGAAAAATCTCACAAAGAAACTCAAAGTACCAACATTAAGAGAAACGAGCGAATGACTCAGAAAATGTAAGCACAGATGAAACATCATGTTTACAATATTGTTCAATGCAAAGTGTCTTAATTCATTTAATTTACATTGGTTTCTTCATTTTCATCTTTTCCCCAGTTTTTTTTCCTTTTAACGCTTTCAGTATTCTTTTTTTACTTTTACTTTACTCTTTTTGCAAGAAGTTTAGAAACTCACTTTTGCATTATCCTCATACATCCCTTCGACCTAGTCGAAATCCATAATTCTAAGAACACAAAGGAACTGATAATAAACAAGTCTTTAAGCACTTCGTCCTAAGGATTCAGTGGTTGATCCTACTAGTAAACCATACATTTGGAGACCAGGAGTTGTTTACCATTTTTTAGGGTAAACAAATTGGCACGCTCAGTGGGACCTGTGTTAGGTGTGTTTTGTTTATATCATCCTAAGTTTTTTTCCTACGTTAGAGAATTAAGTTATACTCTTAGGAACTTTTTCTGGGCATTTTTGCATGCGTTTAAGGAGTGGTAAGGCGTTATCCAGTATGTTGTGTCCTCCTCCAAACAATAGTAATTCCCAGAATAACCCACAAGATATGGTGCAATAGCCAGTAGTATCGGCCATTAAAGAGTCAATTCTTTCTACGCCAGTTAGAACAACGACTCCATTGGCATCAGTCGCAATAATGCAATCCCAGGAGAATGCACTGAAGGTAGAGAAAAACTCAAGAAATGAAAGTTTGAATTTGGTTTTTGACAAAACTTTAGT